TGATAGTATCTTTTATTGCTTCGCCTTTAGGTCCTTTAGACGAATAGCTGTAGATAACGTAGCCATTTCGTGAGTAGCAAGATGTGCGATTCGTGTATCATTCGAGTGAGCGCATCCAGTCAAGGGATGGCGGTGGATTATCATACTCTGGGGGTGTGGGTGGTGGTCTGTACTCGATGGGCTCTTGCTGTCGAGTGGTACGGAGTATAGAAAATTGATTTTATCTCTCTGTGTTTCCGGCGGCCTTGTTATATATATGATGCTGCTAAACGTGATACGCAGATGGTGAAGTATGTATCAGAGAGCAGACGTGATATGGGGGGTATTGCTGTTTCCTAACCACGCTTTGCTCAGTTTATCTGATACCGACAAGGGTATAAAGACGTTGTGAGGTAAGAAACATGAGTACCTAGGTAGGGTACAACCTCGTTCGGTCATGTGGCTACCCGCCGCTGCGTGCTTCCATAGCCCCGCCATGACGTAGCGGGGTAGCTGAGAAATTTGCTTGAAAGAAAAATTTTCTCCACGATTTAGATATAAAGGCTCCTAGCTAGTTTATATCACGATATTTGAGGCACAGCGCCCTAGTTATAACATGGCAGGTCAATCGGAGAGTGAGCTCAATGCCGGTTCCGAGGTATGGAAACCCCCGCCAAAATGATCGAAATTCTGAACTCAGCTAGCGTGGTAGGCAAACCAAATTGAAATCGGCGAATTGTCACCGGAAATAAAGAATATCATTGCCGCTCGACAGGAGTGGCTGGATCTTACAACACATTTTGAGAAACGGGGAGATGTGTATTTAAATATCGACAAAACATTTCAGCAGGAATTCAAAGAGTTGATCGACAAATTAGTATGGCTGTTTACCCTTTGCTATATATCCTCATCTGACTTGAGACCGATAGGGGCATCCACCATCCGCTCACATACGTCTATTTCGCACCCAGGATAACAATGTGCCAACCATTGTTCACGATAGCCGCCTGAAACGTGCACTCTTCATTTATCCACTTCACCTATTGGGTGGTCATGCGGAGGTACATTCCTCTCATCCTGGAGCGCCCGGTTCGATATCCAAAGAGCTTTGCGTCGGGTCTTTTGTGGCCTTTCAGGACCAAGTCGTCATTGATGGTGTGCTGGATTTCCTTCTGGTAGGAGTGCCGAAATAAATCGAGTTAGGCGTTATGGTACATAATGATGTCAAGAAGCCTGACTAAAATAAATCGAAGTCAAGGTTACCTAATGGTGGAAAATCTTCAAAGTCGAGATAGTTATATGGAACAACACCAGTGATAAATGGATCAACAATATTTGTATTTGTATTTGTTTGAACTATATGTTGTTAGTATCTTATAGTTACAATATGCTTCTTGATATAACATACTTATTGTTCGCTGGGGCGACTGATAAGGGACCAATCTGTCTAAGGACGTGGGGTCAATCGTGAAGTTGGGATCCAAATCAAATGATGTGCCCGGTCGCGCTGTGTTCGACAAGGTAGTATTATTTGCCCTGGGAGGTCGTCGGGCACCATCCTCCTGCTGTGATGGTTGATTCTCTGGTGACGATTGCTGCCTTGATTCGGCCACCCCTTCGGTGGCTGGGTATGATGAACCGTGAGAAATACCCGAGGGGTTTCTGGTGCTCGTAGGTTCTGCCTCCCTAGACCAAGGCGTGGGAATAGAGCCATCGCCTACACAAGTCAGCTTGATTACTAGGCACAACTGGCTGCTCACTTTACCTTCTCGCTCTTCGCCCAATCTCATTCGCTGCGGAACTTGGTATT